GGAGGGAACCATGACACCATGCCGGGGAGGGAACCATGGCACCATGCCGGGGAGGGAACCATGACACCATGCCAGGAGGGAACCATGGCACCATGCCGGGGAGGGAACCATGACACCATGCCGGGGAGGGAACCATGGCACCATGCCGGGGAGAGAACCGTGACACCATGCCAGGGAGGGAACCATGACACCATGCCGGGGAGGGAACCATGGCACCATGCCGGGGAGGGAACCATGGCACCATGCTGGGAAGGGAACCATGACACCATGCCGGGGAGGGAACCATGACACCATGCCGGGGAGGGAACCATGGCACCATGCCGGGGAGGGAACCATGACACCATGCTGGGAGAGAACCATGGCACCATGCCGGGGAGGGAACCATCACACCATGCTGGGGAGGGAACCATGGCACCATGCCGGGGAGGGAACCATGGTACCATGCTGGGGAGGGAACCATGACACCATGCCGGGGAGGGAACCATGGCACCATGCCGGGGAGGGAACCATGGCACCATTCTGGGGAGGGAACCATGGCACCATGCTGGGGAGGGAACCATGACACCATGCCGGGGAGGGAACCATGACACCATGCCGGGGAGGGAACCATGGCACTGTGCCGGGGTGGGAACCATGGCACCATGCCGTGGAGGGAACCATGACACCATGCCAGGGAGGGAACCATGGCACCATGCCAGGGAGGGAACCATGACACCATGCCGTGGAGGGAACCATGACACCATGCCAGGGAGGGAACCATGACACCATGCCGGGGAGGGAACCATGGCAACATGCCGGAGAGGGAACCTTGGCACCATGCTGGGGAGGGAACCATGACACCATGCCGGGAAGGGAACCATGGCACCATGCTGGGGAGGGAACCATGACACTATGCCGGGGAGGAAACCAATGCACCATGCCGGGGAGGAAACCAATGCACCATACCGGGGAGGGAACCATGGCACCATGCCGGGGAGGGAACCATGGCAACATGCCGGGGGGGGAACCATGACACCATGCTGGGGAGGGAACCATGACACCATGCCGGAGAGGGAACCTTGGCACCATGCTGGGGAGGGAACCATGACACCATGCCGGGAAGGGAACCATGGCACCATGCTGGGGAGGGAACCATGACACTATGCCGGGGAGGAAACCAATGCACCATGCCGGGGAGGAAACCAATGCACCATGCCGGGGAGGGAACCATGGCACCATGCCGGGGAGGGAACCATGGCACCATGCCGGGGAGGGAACCATGGCATCATGCCAGGGAGGGAACCATGACACCATGCCGGGGAGGGAACCATGACACTATGCCGGGGAGGAAACCAATGCACCATGCCGGGGAGGGAACCATGGCACCATGCCGGGGAGGGAACCATGACACCATGTCGGGGAGGGAACCATGACACCATGCCGGAGAGGGAACCTTGGCATCATGCCGGGAAGGGAACCATGGCACCATGCCGGGGAGGGAACCATGACACTATGCCGGGGAGGAAACCAATGCACCATGCCGGGGAGGGAACCATGGCACCATGCCGGGGAGGGAACCATGGCACCATGCCGGGGAGGGAACCATGGCACCATGCCGGGGAGGAAACCAATGCACCATGCCGGGGAGGGAACCATGGCACCATGCCGGGGAGGGAACCCTGGCACCATGCCGGGTAGGAAACCAATTCACCATGCCGGGGAGGGAACCATGGCACCATGCCGGGGAGGGAACCATGGCACCATGCCGGGGAGGGAACCATGACACCATGCCGGGGAGGGAACCATGACACCATGCCGGGGAGGGAACCATGACACCATTCCGCCGAGGGAACCATGGCACCATGCCGGGGAGGGAACCATGACACCATGCCAGGGAGGGAACCATGGCACCATGCCGGGGAGGGAACCATGGCACCATGCCGGGTAGGAAACCAATGCACCATGCCGGGGAGGGAACCATGGCACCATGCCGGGGAGGGAACCATGGCACCATGCCGGGGAGGGAACCATGGCACCATGCCGGGTAGGAAACCAATGCACCATGCCGGGGAGGGAACCATGACACCATGCTGGAGAGGGAACCATGGCACCATGCCGGGGAGGGAACCATGGCACCATGCCGGGGAGGGAACCATGGCACCATGCCGGGGAGGGAACCATGACACCATGTCGGGGAGGGAACCATGACACCATGCCGGGGAGGAAACCAATGCACCATGCCGGGGAGGGAACCATGGCACCATACCAGGGAGGGAACCATGACACCATGCCGGGGAGGGAACCATGGCACCATGCCGGGGAGGGAACCATGGCACCATGCCGGGGAGGGAACCATGGCACCATGCCGGGGAGGAAACCAATGCACCATGCCGGGGAGGGAACCATGGCACCATACCAGGGAGGGAACCATGGGAGGTGCTATTGGACCTCATGTGTAAATACGTCCACATTAGTATCTTTCTTGAAGCTTTGAAGACTGAGTAAGTCAATTTACTGAGGTACAGGTACACATAACTACAATTATCATAGTGTAAATTACTTATTCCCATAATAATAATAATAATAATAATAATAATAATAATAATAATAATAATAATAATAATAATAATAATCTTTATTGCTACCAGTACATGATACAACTTATACAGACCATAGCTGACATCAGTGACATACTACTATAGAGAAAGCTGCTTGTTATGCTGAGCATTTCCCGCAAATTAGGTTAATTTTTGTCCTAGGAGCAACGCTATGTGACCTTTATGGGTTTAGTGCTGAGTTATGATTATAATAATTGTTAGGTAAGACACATATGCAACAGTTAGGTATCCGTTGTTTCAGACAACGGAACAATGCTCTTCTCCAGACTGAGGGACTGACCACCTCAAAACTTTAAGGGTGATGGACTGATTACATCGTCTTCAAGTATCTTCTGCTTCTATCAACTTTTCTGTACTCGACTGAAGAAGCCTACTGTGTAGGCGAAACGTTTCGAAATAAAGATACCTAACTGTTGCATATGTGTCTTACCTAACAATCTGTCGGTATTTTATACCATTTTAATGTTCATAATAATTGTCCCCAGGATGCGACCCATACCAGTCGGCTAACACCCAGGTACCTATTTACTGCATGGGGTCCTTGTGAATGTTGCAGCGCTTATAGTAGGTTTTCCTGGAGTATCTTAGGTTAGTATATAATGTAGCGCCACTATAGGTGTATAAAAATCATTTGAAATAGTCACATTGACTTTATTTGGTCATGCAAGTTTAAATCTGCGTCATGTACTGTGCATGTGTGCCATCACTGTGCACTGTGACTCGACCCCTGCAACCACAGATAGGTAAATACAATCTTCGTGAAGATTTTTGCAACTGTTTGGAATTTGTACTTTCGTAAATAACATCTTTCAAAGTTAATGATATACATTGTAGAAATTGAAAGCAACTGAGTTTGAAATTATATCGCCGATTTTTAGTGTAAAATTATATAACAGATTTAACCTTTCCCCCATCAGAAAAAAATTTGTAACCCCGGTTATATCACATAATTTTTGCTCGTTTGGTTCTGATTAAAAATTAAAATTTCGTTTTATTAGAAATCAGTTTATTTGATCAAACATAAAATTTACGCAAGACATTGTATATATTCTCTTCATGTGTATGTACAGAGAGCAGCATTGTATATACATTGTATATACATTGTATATACATTGCATATACACTTAGAGTGTAGCAGAGTGAGATGACCAAGAGAGGGTATAAATTGAGGGTGGTAGAAAGAGGGTGTTCGGGTGGTCCCTGGAAGGGTTGAGGGAAGGTTGGTAAAGGTTTAAGTGTCTGAACATCCAATAGGCTTATGGGAACGTGGTGGATCAGAGTAATTGGAGATAAGCGGTTTTCATTGTTTAATGTGCTGTTGGAGTGTGAAGGACTTCAGGGGAAACTGGATAGTTAGACTTGAGTCCTGGAGGTGGGAAGTACACTTCCTGCACTGTGAAGGAGAGTGTGGGGATGATGCAGTTCAGGTCATTTGAACTGTAATGTCTGCACACTCAGGCAAGACAGCTGTTGAATGAATAATGGTGGATGTGTTTCCTTAATTTTCGGGGACCTGCTGTCTTGGTGGAAGTCGGCCGTTGTGTTAATTAAAACAAATGGAATTTACCTTAATCCTTATTTTTTGTTATACATGTATATTGAAGGAGACCTTAAGTATGCAGCAATATTCCAGCCTAGAAAGGACTAGTAACCTGAAGAGTTATCATCATGGGCTTGGTATCTCTCATTCATTAGGGATTTGCCGGTACTTCCGGCCCGGGTCTTCTCCAGATGGTGACCTGGCGGGTATCTCTCTCTCTCTTGTTTTGAAAGTACTAGTTATCCAACCTAACATTTTTCTTGTAGTCACGTTCCTTGAACATGAGATCTTCTGACACCTTATCACTCCCAGGTCTCCCACACTCGACTTCAGTTCTATTGAGTGGCTTGAGTTTTTCTTTTGCTCCAGTCTTTGTTTTAATTTCCTCCCTTTTCTGGGACGGGGACGCAGGGGGCGGTGATCAGAAGCATCTCCAGGCAAGCGCCTTCATTCTCTAACGCAGTAACTGAAATTTGTCCGCACTGAACATCATATTGGTGTCATTAGCCCACTGGAAGCAGTTTACCTCAGCTTGCAGGCTCACCATGTTTTCTATGGCTATTTCACTGTATCTTTCATAAGGTTTTGTGTTTCTTGCACTGTCACTGTATCTTAAATAGACGTGTTTCTTGTAGGCTTCTTCTCTGTATCTGATAAAGGTTGTATTTCTTGAAGGCTGTGTCTTTGTATCATACAAAGGTTCTTACTGACCACTTTACTATACATCTTACAAAGGTATTTCTTGCAAGCTGTCACTGTACCATACAAAGATTGTTTAATACAGGCTGTCGCCTACAAGAAAAGGCATGTATCTTACAAAGGGTCGTGAGTCTTACATCTTACAAGGGTAACGTTTCTTGCAGATTGCTCCACTGGATCCAGAGTAAGTTACCAGACTTGCCTATCACCAACTTCACCAATGACTGGAACGACGGTAGAGCGGTGGGTGCTCTGGTTGATGCTGTGGCTGCTGGTCTGTGTCCAGACTGGCCTGACTGGGTCCCGGCTGACTCCCTCGCTAACGCTACTGAAGCTATGAACATTGCTGACAACTGGCTCGGTGTGCCTCAGGTGAGACTCATACTGACTTTACTACTACTACTACTACTACTACTACTACTACTACACTACTACTACTACTACTACTACTACTACTACTACTACTACTACTACTACTACTACTACTACTACTACTACTACTACTACTACTACTACTACTACTGCTACTACTACTACTACTACTACTACTACTATACTATTACTATACTACTACTATTACTATAACTACTATTCATTGTGGTAGTCTACAAGCCTCCGGATGCAACATCCCAGCAATTCCAGGAACAGCTGTTAAAAATTGACCACTCTGGAAAATCTTCCAGCTCCTGCACCCAACATCTTGCTCCTGGGGGATTTCAACTTAAGGCACCTAAAATGGAGGAATATAGCAAATAATATTGTTGCAGTAATAACACCAGGAGGCAGCTCTGATGAAAACTCACACTCACACGAGCTTTTAAATCTCTGCACAAAATTCAATTTAAACCAGCAAATAATAGAGCCTACTAGACTGGAGAATACACTAGACCTCATCTTCACTAACAATGATGATCTGATAAGAAATGTCACCATATCAAAAACAATATACAGTGGAGCCCCGCATAATGATTACCTCCGAATGTGACCAATTATGTAAGTGTATTTATGTAAGTGCGTTTGTACGTGTATGTTTGGGGGTCTGAAATGGACTAATCTACTTCACAATATTTCTTATGGGAACAAATTCGGTCAGTACTGGCACCTAAACATACTTCTGGAGTGAAAAAAATATCGTTAACCGGGGGTCCACTGTACTCAGATCACAACATAATTGAGGTTCAGACATGTATGCGTGGAGCCCCAGACCGACATAATGAGACTAGTCACGAGGGAGCATTCACCAAATTTAACTTCAATAACAAAAACATAAAGTGGGACCAAGTAAACCAAGTCCTAACCGATATAAGCTGGGAAGATATACTAAGCAACACAGACCCCAACTTATACCTAGAACAGATTAACTTGGTGGCACTCGATGTATGCACAAGGCTTATTCCTCTAAGAAAAAGGAGGAGTAGATGTAAAATAGAAAGAGACAGGCGCTCCCTTTACAGGCGACGGAAAAGAATAACAGAGCGGCTAAAAGAGGTCAATATATCTGAAATGCGTAGGGAGACACTGGTCAGAGAAATAGCAAGCATTGAACTTAAGCTAAAGGAATCTTATAGGAGTCAGGAATCGCGGGAAGAACTAAAAGCCATAAATGAAATCGAAAGAAACCCAAAGTATTTCTTCTCCTATGCCAAATCAAAGTCGAGAACAATGTCCAGTATTGGACCCCTACTTAAACAAGATTGGTCCTACACAAATGACAGCAAGGAAATGAGTGAGCTACTCAAGTCCCAATATGACTCAGTTTTTAGCAAGCCGCTAACCAGACTGAGAGTCGAAGATCAAAATGATTTTTTTATGAGCCACAAAATTTGGTTAACACAAGCCTATCCGATGTTATCCTGATGCCAAATGACTTCGAACAGGCGATAAATGACATGCCCATGCACTCTGCCCCAGGGCCAGACTCATGGAACTCAGCGTTCATCAAGAACTGCAAGAAGCCCCTATCACGAGCCTTTTCCATCCTATGGAGAGGAAGCATGGACACGGGGGTCGTCCCACAGTTACTAAAAACAACAGACATAGCCCCACTCCACAAAGGGGGCAGTAAAGCAACAGCAAAGAACTACAGACCGATAGCACTAACATCCCATATCATAAAAATCTTTGAAAGGGTCCTAAGAAGCAAGATCACCACCCATCTAGAAACCCATCAGTTACACAACCCAGGGCAACATGGGTTTAGAACAGGTCGCTCCTGTCTGTCTCAACTATTGGATCACAACGACAAGGCCTTAGATGCACTAGAAGACAAAAAGAATGCAGATGTAATATATACAGACTTTGCAAAAGCCTTCGACAAGTGTGACCATGGCGTAATAGCGCACACAAATGTGTGCTAAAGGAATAACAGGAAAAGTCGGTCGATGGATCTATAATTTCCTCACTAACAGAACACAGAGAGTAGTCGTCAACAGAGTAAAGTCCGAGGCAGCTACGGTGAAAAGCTCTGTTCCACAAGGCACAGTACTCGCTCCCATCTTGTTCCTCATCCTCATATCCGACATAGACAAGGATGTCAGCCACAGCACCGTGTCTTCCTTTGCAGATGACACCCGAATCTGCATGACAGTGTCTTCCATTGCAGACACTGCAAGGCTCAAGGCGGACATCAACCAAATCTTTCAGTGGGCTGCAGAAAACAATACG